AATAAAATAATCATAATTTGTTTCTGCTTTTCAATTCTCCCCCCTGACCCTTAGGAGCTACACGAGTAGGGTTATTTTCATAGGAGTTTGGCTGTGAATTGGGGTTTTGGACATCATCAGTACAGACCCGTTACCTAGAAGAAGAGGAGCTGTTTGAATACATATGTCTTCACTGGAAAGTGCTCTATTTACAATGAACATGGTAGGGAACCAAGATTTCACTATCAGTTCTTGGAGTTTTGGGGCCCATTCCACAGTCCTGCAGTACTAAAATCCATGAAACAACTACAGTTTAAAAAAGGTAGAAAGGTCTCAGAACAGCGTGTGTCAGTTACAAAGAAAGCAACCACGTGAGCGTTCATGACAATCCCGTGAACGGCTGTCTAATACAGAGCGCACTTGGAAAGCAATCTTGGCTGGAACTTTGTTAGCAGAAAGAGTCTATTGCGAGGCAAACATTTCATTTGCTTTTAGGATATGCTACCCGGTCTGGACAACTGGCACTCCTCAACGCAGGAAGTGCTCCGTGTAGCCTGCGTTTCAAGCAGCAGTCAGGGTTGGCTAAAACACACATTCCAAATCAGCTGAGCAAGAACAGTGTCCTAATGGAAGATCTGCGGCAATACCTGAAGGATTTCTATTTGTTCTCAGCGCAGTGCGTTAGCTAGTACATACCACAGCTTGTTTGCCTTTTGGGTTATGATTAAGAAGCGTAATGTTTGATTTGTAGGAAGGGTCCTTGAAGGCTTGTTTTCCATCTAGGCAGGGCTGGAAAGCCGCCCCTTCCTGAACACAGTTAACAGGGCTGTTCCACATGGACTGGAAAGCTCAGCTGTTCTCACAAGTTTTAGCTGCGTCCAGGGTAGCCACACTAGCTGTACACCATGGCAGTGCTTTTATCAAGGGGTTAATAAATGGGTGTCAACCTGACCCACTAACAGAAAGGTTAAAATGCCAGGTCAACAAAGCCAGGTCGTAAGAAAAGAAGACACCATTCGATTTCATGAACATTTTTCAATATTGGGTGGTAGTGGAACGGACGGGAAGATCCCAGGGTTGTGCCGCCCCAAGTAGCGAAGGGGGGGAAAAAAAGAAAAAGAAAAAAAGCCGCGATCGGCGGCACTTCGGCTGCAGCTCAACCGCACTACTTCGTTCCTCGGCGGCAATTCGGCGGCGGGCCCTTCGCTCCGAGAGAGACTGAGGGACCCACCGCTGAAGACCCGGACGTGCCGCCCCTTTCCGTTGGCCACCCCAAGCACCTGCTTCATTCGCTGGTGCCTGGAGCCGGCCCTGTGCCTGAGGAAGCACGCAGGGCAGGATCTGTGGGAATTCTCCCATCAGAAGCCCGTGCATAAGATTTTCCAGGAGGATGGGTACGAAGTGTCACCTGGGGCCAGATTCTGTAAATCAGCACCGCTCCATTTACTTGAATGGAGCTATGCCGGTTTATATCATCTGTGAATCTGGCCCAGTGTGAGCCTGCTCCATGCATTTCCATTGGCGCTTCCGGCCATGAGATGTTTACAGTAGCAATATGTTGTTCATCACTGAGGATGACTTATACAAGTACCCCAGCAGCCACCTTTTGTCTACATAATTGAATTCCCAGTCTCGCTTGCTTATTCGGGAAAGCCCTGGCTTTCGCGGCTTCTGGGAGCAAAACGCTTTCATAAAGAAGTTGCTGTCAAGGGACCAAATCCGGCTCCCAGTTACACACTGACTTTGGGGGAGCTATGCTATTTGATGCTAGCTGGCACAGGAGGAAAATCAGCGTGAGAGGCGACTCAGGCCCAACCCCTTTATATTTAGTAAACCAAATATCTCTCCACGGTGTCTCTGTTAAGCAGCACATTTACCTGTGGTTATGACACACATCGAGGCTCCGGCTTTACAAACAACTTTCTAAAAACTGCTTTCGGAAAGAGGGCTGGTTTTTAGCCCTTTCCAAAGGCGGTTTTTGGCAGGGATGTCGGTGCCCAAGACAGACCCTCATTCTTAATCCCAGCCGAAAACCAGCAGGTATGTGTGCTCTCCAATTGGCCGTTTGGGTTATGGAATGAAAGAACTCAGCAGGCTAAGCGGAATAGGAGTCTCTGGCTACGTAGCTACAAACTGTGCCCCCCAGGCAGCCCTCCTCCTGCATTCTGAGAATTGCTCTTTGGAGTAGGGATTGTCCTTTTTTATGTTTGTCCAGCACCTAGCGCAAGGGGGCCCAACCTACGTAATACCCCAATAGAAACATTAACTAATAATGTTCGCTCTGTGCTGTGCCCGCTGAACTTTCCCTCTGTGTACTCGAAGGTCAGAAAACTTTCACTAGACCAGTTTTTCCTGTTTTCAAAGCCTGCCAGTTCCTCCCTACCCCTGCCAAGGAGATAACAGGTCTCAGCTGAACCAATTTAAAACCCAGAGGAACCACGTGGCCTTTGTTTATTCTTTTCAATAGTCAGGATCGCAGCCAGCTCTTTTGTTACTAAATTCCCCGTAGAATGAGTCAGCGAAGGTGTGGCTGGCATGGGCTGTTAGGGAATTACCGGGAAAGCCTCTACCAGATTGAGGTCCAAACCCACCCACAGTGGCATTCCAGAAAACAGCCGGATATCCCCGTGGTGGAATACCTGTTGCAGAGGGATGGTTTGCTGGGCGGCGTAGGGCTGGCATACCACTCCCCGGTCTAGAAGAACACCGAGGGGATGGCAGCTGGGAGGGCGGGGTGAGATCTAGTTATTCTGGATTGCAAATGGTTCCCTTGAGCCTGTTCCAGCCTGGGCATAAACGAGAACAGTAGCTGGGCTGCTCTAGGCTACACCAAAGA